CCAAAAAAGACGGTTAGAAATATGTTTCACAAACTTAAATTGGGATGACATAGACTTCTATCAGGAACAAAAATTACCCCTAAATTCGTAAAGATCACTGAGAATAAGTGGTAAGAGAGAACCTCAACCTTTCGCTTACACAATGACTTTAAAAGTTGAGCAGAACATGAACAACAGAAATCATGATTTCTTCCCTTTCCTAATCTCTAACCTTACAAAAGCAAAATCCAACTTATTTATACAAATTACATTAATTTGAACAATTCTTTTTCTACATGAGATGAGTCTATTATCACATTTTAGCGATTTGACTTCATCACAAATATAAAGCGTATACATAGAGCAATGGCTGTAAGTTTTTTTCATAGAAAAATGAGATGATGGAGATGAGATAAAGCAAGAAATTCATGATCGAAATGAGAGAAACCAAGAAATTCACTATCTTAGACAATCATGTCATCCATCATGTTTTTCAAGGGTCAAAATATGGCTTTCGAAATTGATCTGAAAGCCTACTGACCAAGCCTTGTTCTTTTATTCCAATAAAAACTTTAGAGATAAAATTCGTCCCATCAACACACTAATTTTACATGTTTAGGTAATCCCTTCTACTTACAGAAAGGTTCCAATATTTTTGAGATTTTATTAAAAGCAAAACTAAAGCTCTACTAACCTATCTTCTTTCTCGTAAAATTTCACGGCTGGGGCCACCTTTCTGTTCTTCTCATCCTTGTATGCTTGAAACTGCCATAAACCTAAAGTGGCACCTTCTGCAGCTGCTTCTGAATCGCCAAAACTTTCAACATGTACTTCTACCACTCCTACGTCCTGTAAACTTTTGCATCCCGCTAAAAAAGATAAAAAAGTGAATTATTTCAAAAATTGCTTCAAAATTTTGACATACTCTTTAAAGGGTCTGCAGAAGAAGTGGATGGATGAAGAAAGGAGAAATGTGTTTCCTTGAATTTCACAAATCAAAGTTTGAGATGGATCTATAGTGCTCACAAGAACAATTACAAGTCAAGTCGTCGACCTTTAAAACAACCCTGAGCGTCGTCTCTGTGAACGTGAACATAATCAGGCCTTCAACTAACCATCAAAAAACCCCAATACAAGACAATCTATATCATCTCATAAAACCTCATTACTATCTGTTTATCTCCTACAGAATACTAACATAAATCCATGGACCTATTATGATACCTACCCTCACCCTTTCATCCCAGCTTTAATTAAAACCTAAATTTCTTTCCAATTTCAGACCCCTTCCAAGGCCGCAGTATCCCCCGGATATAAAGCCTAAAACAAGATACAAAAACAAAAAAAATCCCTGAGCGTCAAATCATACTAACGTACATAAGGTATCCATGAACAAAAATTTGATGATGAAATTGTGCCTGAAACACAAACTACAACCAAAGTAAAAATAAAGGTTGCAAAAACATAATACTTGATGTATTCACTCAGATCACCCTTTAGCAGTCATTTCAAAGTATTGCCCCATCACTAATTACTTATACACTAATTCCATCCAGATGTAGTACAGAATAATTTTACTCTCACAAATCTTTGAAATAATTAATGTCTTGGCATTCAGAGATCATCAAGGGCTTCATGGTTCTTCAGACCAGGTTTACATCAAATCACAATTTTTTCTCTTCAATATAAAACGAATAGGTAGGACAAATCACACTGTGGGAAGTCTTAAAATCGACTTTCCCAATTGCCTATTTAGTGAATCCTTTTCTATGTAAGATTATGAGAAGAGTACGCATGACCTTTTCTTTTCTCGGCCAGACTTTGTAAAGAAGCCAAATGTCTATGTTCAGTGATGTGGAACTGCAGATCCATTTTGAGGAAATCAGAATGTTTACATTGTTTAGTTAAGTAATGGAATTAAGTGTTGGTAATACTTGGATGCAGGGCAATTTGCTTACCAGCAGACGCAACTCTGACCGCTTCCCTGCCTTCATCGCGCTCCTCAGCTTCATCATAGGATTGACCAGCTTTGCCTACATTAACGAGAGCAACAGTGCCAAATGAATCTGAAATATCGTACAGAATTCGAACTTTTCCTTTCTTGAAACTTGCTCCAAAACTGTAAAATTCACAAAATGTATAACAGTTAATAAATTAAATTTAATGATTACGGTGTATAGACCTTAACTTGCTGTGAATACACGAGTAAATTTGAATTAAAGTAAAAGAGAGCCCTGGTCATCCACGGTCCAGATGGTCAAAGGTCATCCAGTCTTTTTCCTCAAGCGCAGGGCTGGATTAACGATTTTGCCGCAGTGGACACGCGGAAATTTGCCGCCCCGGAGGGCCCACTGTAAGATGCAATTTTAGCCCATTTTTTACTTAAAAATGTCCAAAAATGAGGCTGTAATTTTTTTAGCTTTTAATCCAAGTTTTACTATGGGTTCATTGTTTAATCAAGAACTTAACTTTAGATGATTTTAAATAATAAACTTATTTGTGTAAAGGGATGTCAGGCACCACTCTACTGACACTAGTTTATTGTATTGTATTGAAAATATGAAAAACAAGTAATTGAAAAAGTATAATTAGATTGCCTGACCGGGTTCCCACACGGGGGTCTCACAACTGAACACGAGCAGCCATTGGCGAGGCTACACTGAAAAAAAGTGAGGTAAAATTAAGGTGATCCCACCCGCGTTCGATATCGAAATCTATACATCGACGGATAAACGTCTTTTGTGACTTTGCTTTTGACTTTTTTTTTCATTTCAAATTTTCAGGGGCAGCATTTTTTTTTTTGTTTTGTTTCTCGATTTCTGCCGCCCCCAAAAATTTGCCGCTGTGGGCACAGGCCCATTTTGCCCCTACGGTTAATCCAGCCCTGCTCAAGCGGATAGTTTTTCTCAATTTGCCAGGCAGTCTAAACTCAGACCAGACAGTCGAAGGAGATTCGGTCTCATCCCTCAATCGACTCTTCATCCAATTATCCTGTCAGATAGTAATTTTGCCAATAATGTGCATTAGAGATCAGTTTGAAAAGTCAATATCCTGTCAGTCTAAACTCGAAAATAAAATATGTCTTGCTCAAATTTGCTGTAACTCTTCCTACTGCACTGTTTGTGAAAAAACGACTTTTTACGATGGGTGCTTTTTCGGTCTGCGGTTCGTGAGTTCGGCTTATCCGCGGTTTTCCATCATTTACGGTACCTCCAGTCGCGAGAATGATCGATTATATCGACCAAATTTAAAGCTGCAGTAAAGAATCGATTATTAAAGTGTTATTAGGTTGCAAACACCTTGTAAATCGATCCTTTTCTATGCGTTTTAAAGGCGGATTAATCGATATATCGCAAAGCACGCCACACCACTGGTCCCAACTACCGCGGATAACTGAGATTTAACTGTATTATTAAGTGTCCGAGAGGCTGTGGGAAGAATGACTTGGTCCGCAACGAAATGGAAGAACTAATGATGCAAATAAGGTCTCTTTTTTTTAGGTCTATAAAATTAGGTATACGAATTGCAAAAAAATAAGAAATATTTGATCATTGGGTGGTTATGAAGTTAGCCTAAGAGTTTTTACAAGGGGGGGGGGATTCAAGCAAAGGTTACGTATGTAGAAAAGGGGGTGAGAGATTGGCTTGGGCGGATTGTTAACAGGAGGGTGGGAGAGACCACACTACTAGCCATTACGGTGTATGAAATACGATTACTCGAACAGTGTCCAAGGAGAATTTGTTTTTCCTTAATAAATAATTTCTCAATTTACCTTTTTCCCCTAAAAATAATTCGTAATTCCTTCATCTATGATACCTACTTTCAATTTTCTCTCATACCTACTTCAATTTTTTTCTTTCATAATAAGCAGGCACTGAAAAACTCAGAAAAGCTAAGGAAATTCGTGTTAAGTTATGTTTCAACAAATTAAGATGATCAGTTTTTTTGCTTGATAAAAACAAGGAGATGACCAAAGAGTTCTTCGACATAACATACATTTTTACCACCAGAATACATTTTTCAGAAAAGCTAAGGAAATTCGTGTTAAGTTATGTTTCAACAAATTAAGATGATCAGTTTTTTTGCTTGATAAAAACAAGGAGATGACCAAAGAGTTCTTCAACATAACATACATTTTTACCACCAGAATACATTTTTCTCTAAAATCATAATAAATGTCCTACAAAATTTTGTAAACCTAACGTCCTGCAAACAATTTTTTTGGCATTGGTTAAAGCAAAAAATAGGCAAAGGGAGAAAGAAAGTAACTCCATATTTTCACTGTTAATATATAAAACGGCATGCACAACATTGTGGTACTGCTGGCATGTGAACTGATTACAACAACCGAACATGTATTGGTTAGGGTAGATGGAGGGCTGAGCTTGAGCTATAAATTAAATTATTATTAAGTGATTAAATGGTTCACGAATAATTCATGGTGCACACTGTAATATGAAGTCTTTTTCCCCTAATTGCAAACTTCCTCTGAGGTTTTTAAACCTTGGTTCGTCAAGGATGGCTTTGAATAAGACATGAAGGCTGAGTTTCTTAGAAGCAGTCGATTTTACAATGATAATTTGGTTGGAAAAAGTCTCCTTGAGAAAGGTATAAATTCTGAGTAGGTAAGTAATTTTCTAACTTACATAATTTATATGTTTTTATTTATTTTTTATGACTAAAATTTGTTTTTTTTCTCCATGAATCCAAACTTGCTTATATCATCACACACCAGATAAAACAAGAGC